TATGTTACCTCACTGACCCTCTCTTACACTGGACTAAAGGGTGTAGCAGCAGTGACACATTCATTTTCATGTTATGTATTGCTGTTCCCAGGGACTGCCAGGGAAGCAGGGAGTAGTGGGACCCTCTGGTGCAAAGGTAATTGGAATCATCTTCTATTTTATAAGGCATGTCCATGGAGTAAACCCAAAATTGTATTGCTGCAGTCAGCTTCAGTAGAATTCACAAGCAGAGTGTTTGAGCTGATTAAAAAGCGAGAATTTGAGTATTTTACTTATATATTTCTTATGTGGTTTTAGGGTGATACTGGCGATGATGGACCCGTTGGACCAATTGGACTTCCTGGAAAGATGGTACGATTATACCATCAAGCTTCATATCACACTTCATATTCATCTGTTCAGCTGTTTTGATGTAATAAAGTTTTTCAGAAACATTAAGACTAATTTCTTTCCAAATAGGGTGAGACTGGGAAAGATGGAGAAGATGGAAAACCAGGAGATAAAGGAGCAACTGTGAGTTAACATTTACTCTCCATTTATCTATGTGTGGACAATTCAAAGATTGTAGTTCATGTTTTCTTTTTGATTTCTGTATCTAATGTTGTTAAAGCCAGTGTGCATCCATGATCACCCTCACTCTGAAGGTTAAGGGCAGAGGATGTCACACCTTGTTAAGCCCTATGAGACAAACTGTGATTTGTGAATATGAGATATACAAGTACAATGTGACTGATTGATTGATTGATTGAACTGTAGCTAACCAGATGTTAACTATATAATCATTTTCCAGGGTGGAACAGGAAAACAAGGGCCAGTGGGGCCTGCAGGTCCTCCAGGAATCGAGGTGAGATGTTATTATTATTAAAAAATGTCCTTAAACTTACAGTAAAATAATATGAAACATTATTCACAGAGTATTGATGCTTTACAAAGCAGCTCATGATTATAAATTATAGAACAGTATTACCAACATTTCATAAAAATGATGCATAGAATGGATGAATTCAAAATGAAAATGTATTTCCAGGGAGACAAAGGAGATAAAGGTGACACTGGTGCCAATGGAATAAAGGGTCATACTGGACTCAAAGGAGATCAGGTTCGGATTTTTTACTTTAAAGCATTGATTATGATGAGAGTCTGCAGGAAGGTACTTACTGATTTTATTTCCACCTATTTTGTCTCCAGGGACCAATCGGACCTGTGGGACCAAAAGGAAGTCAGGTAAGAACTATTATCACCTCTGTTAAAATGTATCTGTGAATGACCTTTGAGGGCTTTTTCAACACTCACCATGTTCCACTTGCATGAACAGGGTGACACAGGTATGGCAGGAGACTCCGGAGTGAAGGGAGACCAGGTATGAGGACCAAGTTTTAACTTTATGAACTCACATTTAAATTGTATTTTATTTATTTATTTTTCTGTTGAAAATGCGACAACCATTGAGTTGACTTGAAAAGATTTGAATGAGGTCATGAGATCTTTGTTTGTTGCAGGGCCCTCCTGGTGTTCCTGGAATCAGAGGAGAGGTATTATGAATCCATTTTACATCAACATACACCTTTGTTTCTGATGATCCTACCACTCTGCTATTTTTTGACTTTTACTCTGTATGAATATTATAAAGTAATCTAACAGATTTTTTAGACCCCCTTGTCTTTACATATATAGGAAACAAGTTCTTGAATGGCCGTAGGTGTTGTGTCCTCTGTCAGAGTTGGATGGTAATGATTTGTTTTTTAAACATAAGCGTGGAGAGCAAGGCCCGAGAGGAGCTGCAGGGATCGATGGCAGGCCAGGTCAGACGGGCCACGAGGGTTTGGCTGGTCCAATGGGAGCCAGAGGGCTGGAGGGAGAACCAGGCATTGCTGGAGCACCAGGTCCCAGAGGTCTACCTGTAAGTGTAGAGAATGTACACACCATCCACTCGTACAGCACACTCTCTAGCTTTAGTCCTCTAATGAACAGGTGAGTGGTTGAAAATTAGTGCAGTTGTGCATCATCAAATCCTTTAGGATGTTAATTTCAGTGTCAGTTGTTTTTGGTCAGTCAACTCTGTTCCACTCACAAATATCTTAACAACTAAAAGTTGAACTGCATATAAATTTCATAAAGCCATTTATGATTACCCGATGATATAACCGTGACTTTGGTAATCTACCGACTTTCTCTCCATTGCTCGGGGGTAGAAGGAGGCCTTGAATTGGGACAGTCTAGTTGTGCCGCTGTGACTCAAATGGTCTTTAAATGTAGCCTCTGAAAAATGTGGCCACCGAAGTGAGACACAGCCATAGTTTCAAAATCAAATTTAAATGGGAATACAGAATGTGGGGAAAAAACACAGAATTAGCGGCTGCTCACGCTGTGTTCAACCATGCACATTTTTGAGTGATTTACTAACATTCGAAGAATTTGATTTGAACCATTCTTATGACTAAAACTTCAAAACACTATTTGCTCATCCTCACACAGGTGCTAGCATGGTTATTGATTTATGCCAATTGATTCAGTTTGTGTATTCTGCTAATTCAGGGTATGTGTGATATGCCTGTGCTCACTGAGCCTGGGTTTACAGAATGTAAGTCTTAATGTTCATGAATTCACAGGGCCCAAAAGTGAGTGACGAGAAGCTACGGGAAATGTGCACAGCTGTTGTAGAAGGTTTGTTCATTTTAGTCTGATCTGGTCATATATATATGTATGTAAATAACACGATATTATTATGGATCAATACTGCAAAATGCTTTTTGTTTTAATTAAGTTTGTACATTTTCCATTTAGAACAATTGGCAGAGTTTAAGAAAGAGCTCCTGCAGAAGCCAGCAGCCCTTGGTGCCCCTGGTACCCCTGGACCAGCAGGACCTGCTGGCCCCCAAGGACCAGCTGGAGCAGCAGGAGCAGCAGGAGCTCCAGGACCCTCGGGTCCTAAAGGCCATCCAGGCTACTTTGGACTTCCAGGCGTACCAGGCAAGAAAGGTCAGTAAGACTTTTCAGACTAAATCTCAATGACTAAATTGTGACCTCCTTCAAAGCCAGTACTCAGATAAGAAAAACTGCTGGCTTCAGCAGTCTTTAGAAAAGCCCTACTGAAAGTGGTTTCTAAATTCTATATGTGTTTCACCAGCACAGTGATAAAGGCCCTGTGCTGCTGTGATAACCTTTTGCTCTTGCTTTATTTTCCTGGAGAGCATCCAGAGCTGTAGAGGCTAGAAATTGAATAAAGCCTTTGGAGAAAACAAGGCTGTGGGTGCTGGCACTCACACGTCTCCCACTTCAGACTGATAGAAGTCATGTGCAACCCTCAATGGATAGAAAGGATTCACCAGTGCATAACATTATACAATCAATGCATTCCCAAACAAGGCTGAATCAGAGTGGATCCATTACATTACCTAATTATGTCCCCATAACTGTAGGAACAGCATGCCTCTCCATTTCATCTCAGCATAATGTGTGTCTTCTATGTGCCCATCTCTTCTGAAGGTGATACTGGAGCGAGGGGAGACAAGGGAGACAAGGGAGAGGATGGAGTAGGAGTCAAAGGCAGCTCAGGTGCACCCGGTGCGCCAGGTAAGACTGGACTCTTGTCATCTCTTATGTATCTGCTCAGAGGGTCTTCAAAATGTCTAGACACATATTTCTCAAAAGGGGATGGTTTTAGTTTTGTGCTGTCAACTTAATACTTCATAGTACACTACTAACAGGAGCATTCATGTTTTTCTCTGTACATCCTAGAAATATTGATACAATCATTTTTCACTAACTTTCAATTATCTCACGTAGGCTTGAACCTGTACAGCTTTGAGACATGCCTATCATGCTGTGTTATTTCATCGACATCACTAGACTAACAAAACAATCATTTCTAACCTCAGGTGCACCAGGTGTCCCCGGTATAGGCAAGGATGGCAAAAACGGAGAACGAGGTGAGACTGGGAGTCCCGGTGTCCCAGGAACATCTGGTCCAAGGGGACCCTCAGGACAGCCCGGCCTTTGTGACCCATCAACCTGTATAAGCAGAATTCCACCTCTCTATATGGTCAGTGGAAAGAAATCTGCCAGCTACAAAAACCCATGAGACGTCGCAACTCAACGACACATTCCAGAACTCATCCTGTCGTGATCAACTTTAAGGGCTTCTCAGAAGTCAGGCCGTGGTGATCTGTGGGAGTCCTCACGTGTCCCCACGTGAACCATGGATCTAAGAGACACAATGGAAAACAGAGACAAGACACAAATGTAGAATACTGTATAGATGTTTTAACTTGTTTGTGATTTTAGAGAAAGCTCATCTGGTGGTGCGTATTCACAGATAGCTGCTACTGATGCCAAAGCAACGTCTTTCAACTAACGACGGGCCTGTAGGCCCAACAAATGCTCGATTACAGCTGCAGACATCTGGCCTTCACTAAGAGTCTTCTTCAAAACAATATGAGCCGGTTGTGAAATAAAAAAGGTAGATCTTTGCTTTCCACTTACGCATTTTCATTTCTTGAATAAGCTCAGAGAGGAAATTATTTTGACCCCAGCTGTCAGCATATCAGGTGCCATTTTGACCCACTTATTCTCATTGCAATCATGAGCCAGTTAGTAACAGAATCAGGTGAAGTGGAACAAAAAATGATATCATGTTTTAAGAGTATTTCACAAGAACAAGTCTGCACTTGACGAGCCAGCGAGCTGACATCTGCAACAATATAATTATCAATCAAGGATCAGGAATTCATTTTGTCATATTGTTTTTTTTCAAACATTGTAATAAAGTGATATGTTTTGGATATTACTGAATTAAAATCTTTAATGACTGGAACGCCATCTTTCTTGGAGCTGCTGTTGTTCGATAAGATTGGATCTGAGTCACATTATCACATAGCAGAATTAAGCAGACTGTTACTAAGATAAGATGCCTGATCAATTAAATTTCACAGCTGCTCCACACAGTAAAACACAGTCCCTGGGTTATTATGGATATCATGTAAATTCAGGAAAATGTTTCATTGTTGCTCGGTTACCAATTAAAAAGAGACAAAATCATCCCTACGGCTTTTTGCACTGCACAGATACATTCACAGCTCAGAGAGATTGATTATATTCACCTTAGAGATACTACACTTGATGGATAGGAGAACAGGTTTTAGTTGAAATCATTAACACAACTGCTCTGACAAATAATTTGAATAAACACGGCTACGAGATGTATATTTACCATTCTTTTTATGATAAAGCTTAAAGTCAAGCTCCATTTCATGGTAGTACAGCATATCAGTAAAGTTATAATCTTCAAACAAAGAGTGAAGTGGTCGCAAGGTTTGACTTCATGTCAAACAGTTACTAATTGAAGAAAACACAGCAACACCTGTATTATAAAATGAATCTGTTCCCTTCTTTATTATACAGTACAGTACATCTGTCTTTCTAATACTTACAATATGCTACTCATTTAAAATATCTTAGCACCAATTTGTCAGGAGGAAAATGGGGAAAACAAGATAATCAAATTTAGTTCATGCTTTGAAACACACTTGTATCGATTCTGATTGTGAATAATTTATCAATATAACTTAAAAAAATCTATCAGCAAAAAAGCCAAGTTGAATAATGAAAGATGTATGGACTATAAGCATTACAAAATATTGGCCTTATTGCAGAAACCTACTGTCCCATGCTGTAACAAAGACTATTGATAAGCATTAACAAATCAGAAACAGGAAATAGCAATACTGATACGGTTGGACTGTTAAACATTAAACCACTGACAGAAGCAGCTGACGGATATTAGATATCATGGCTTAAAGAGCAGGTTTCCAATCCCATGATCTTGGACCAAATTTCTAAAAATACTGTACATTTATTTGAACTTCACTGCATTTAAAGCCGCTCTCTACCACTGACACGAAAGGAGCCATAATGCACTGTAGATACAGACAATCGTCAATGTAGTTGAGCTCCTTTAAAGGCCTAAGAAAAAGAATTGGATTGGTCAGCGGTGAAGTTTGTCGGTTATGTTGAATTGTAAAATGAATAAAAATATTCATTATCTGTTGTAAGTTGACATTTCTTAAAAAGAAAACCATTTTTACGGTGTTAACGCAAGCTAGTAGGTCCAACCTGCTGGCTGCTTTGCATTATTTATGACATGTTCATGAATAATCTGTGAAGAGACTTTTTCAATTCATTTCTTTACTCTCGTTTAAATTAGCCGATCGAACTTTGTAACTTATTATTGAGCAGAGGTTACCAACCACATGTGGCCAAATGTGAGAATTACAGGAGGACAGCAAATTTTAACTTCAACCTTTTGCCAACATTAGCAAATATTAGCCATCAGAATCAAAATCTGACCCAAAAAAAAGGTTTTTCACCTATGAATTCAGCATTTCTCATTTCAGATGGCAAAGAAATACTAATCATCATTTTCAAAATGAGGTCGAGATCTTGACATTATTTCATGAATGACCATCCATTAGTTAACCTGAACAAGATGATAGATATGACTGGCACATATGTGGCAGTCCGTAATATTTAATGTCTATAATCGCTCCCTCAGAATTGAACCACTTCCCTTATGCTCTTGTAGCTATTTATGTGTTTTTCATGTTCCTGAACGAAAGACAAATGTGATAACCTTTGTGGAGGGTATTTAATAGATTTTCAATGACCAGCATGATAGAGGCTGGCGAGAAGTTTAATTGGTCCGTGAGGGACATGAGGCAAAACATCTTTCAAATGGTTACCAAAATGCTCTGGTCATCGGGATGCAGGGAAGCGACTCTCTAATTTTAGGTCCTAGGGAACGAAAAAGAAAAGAAATGTCTTTTCAGAGCAAGGCCGAGTTGCCCAGGCCCCTGCCACAGCGTAGGCACTTAATAAGCCTCAGTGAACAGAAAGGAAGTGACACATTCAGAGAAAGCAGAGAGAAACAAACAGCTTTTCAAGAAAGGTGAACAAAGCTGCAATTATACCACCTCCTAAAAGCTGTTCACTGTTTAAGTCCATGCACACCTCTGAGAGAGAATGGCCAGGGACACTTCATTAAACGCAACAGTTCAAATCTGACATTGGCATTTCTTCCTATCTCGACATCTGAGTTTATAAGAATTACTGTGGCTGAACAAATGATTACATGGCATATACTGCATGACTTGTGCATACATGCCATTTTATAACATTAGATATTTTCCATTAAAAAGATACATTTATGTAAAACTGATACTGTGAATACAGTGTGGTTTGTTTGGGTCAATAGCTAATTTAGGAAAGAATCCTTCAAATCTCTCCAAAGGCTTGAAAGAACATTGCCAATTTATGGATTGTGACAAGTTATTTTCACTGCCTCCAGTTTAATCTCACTTCTTGACATCTTGTTACATGTCTTGTCTAAACAAATCAGAGCTGTTGTCTTATACAAGTCGAGCAAAAACTTCAATTTATTTAAAGGTGGAAATTTCTGAAAGTTATTTTATTTTACTAGCTGTTCTTTGGTGGAACTGTGGTCTGGAGGCAAAAAGTGGACAAATATGGTCATTCATCTCTCCACACCAACTCATTAACACTCCTCCTACACAAAATCACTAGTGGTATTCGAGATTGTGCCTCATGCCGTACCCCCCTCCCCACCCCCCTTTAAATTGGTGACAACAGAACAGATAATTTCCATGACTGAGTCATAACCAACAGACGGATCCCCAGCACAGGATCAATTTAGTGAGCAGAAATGACAGCTAGGGCTTGATGTAGTAAATTGTAGGCTGTGGATGCAAAATGGTGTGAGGCAGGACGAAAAAAAAAAGCTGTGATGATGAGATATTCCTGCGAGAAAAAGGCCCCGCTGTACGTTTTGAGATAATTACTGATCCAATATCTGGATTCCAAATCTTTACCCCCGATGAGAGCCGTTCAAGAGGGAAGTGCGTCATCCTTGTTATCTCCCTATATATATTTTACAGGAAGAATGCAAGTGAGGAAAAAAAACTGTTTAGCTGCCCTCTTTACCCCATTATCAAATCTTAAAAAGTCCCCGATGCTCAATCCGTCTGTCCCACCCCTCATACCAAAAACAAACAAAACAAAGAATCTGACCCGCAGCACATATTGCTTCAGCCCTCCGTACTGAGGTTATCTTGAAAAAGTAAAAGTTCTTGATTGAGACCGACACAACCGCAAGTTCATAAATACAGCTGGACTTCATGCTCTGTGTGTCTTTTCTTTCTTAAGTCCCCTTGACGTTTTTGGTGTGGGGTCTTTGTGCCAGGCTGGCGTAATAGGCACACTGGGTGGGATCACATTGGCCAGTAGGACCTGGGGGTCCAGGCTGACCGTGGGGGCCGGGGTTTCCAGGCTCTCCTTGGGACCCAGCTTGTCCTGGGCTTCCATCTTTACCGTAGCCAGGTAGGCCAGGGGGACCTAAAGCAGAGAGACAAGCAGTTTAGAGACTGGGTGACACCGAACCTAATGATAATGACTTAAGCAAGCAGGAGTATGGCTCTCACCGACTGGGCCAGTAAGGCCATGCTCTCCTCTTTCACCAATACCAGTTTCTCCTTTCTCTCCTCTTCCTCCTTTCTCACCTGAGAGGAACAGGATTAGAAAAATAGTCAATAGGAGTCCTGCACATTATTAGCCTTTATTTGCTGAGTGTTGAAACTGGTTCATGACATAATAGTTTATGGAATAATAGAATATGGACAAAATGAGTGGACGTGAGGGAACTCAGTCGGGACATGGTAGCTGTAGTTCTCCAGTCTTTATGTGTGCATGATGAATAAATGTGGAGACAGTGTGAGACAGCTAACAGGTGCCCACTTTGTCTGGACAGTGGAAAAACTGTGTGGGTAGAGCTGCAATGATCAATTATCGGAAAATCAAAACTGCAGTTGTTTTGATAATTACTTGATACGATTAAAGTCATCATTTTAGGGTACGTGTCATTTTAGAGGGGGATTATCAGAAGATCAGCCTGTTGCCTGTGTTAAAATGAGCAAAATGAAGCATCCGTAGTCGCTTAAATACCGTCTTCCCTGGTAAGACTAACTCCATTATAATGATTTCCAGTTTTAATATCACTGTAAGCTGAATATCCCTGGTGTTTTGGACTGTCGGACAGACAAAATGCTTTAGCTCAGACATTATTTGTGGGCTTAGTTTTGAAATAAATGAATAGTCTCTGTGGAACATATGCTCCTGTCTTATATACTATATACTTATACTTTGACTTTTCCTACTGGCTTTTACTCCATATTTACCATACGTATATACACCAGTGGTATTGATCTTCTCATTTACCTTCGGCACAAGAAACAGAATGAGTATTTTTCCAAAATGTCAATATATGGTCTCAGATATTTTTTAAATTAAAATGTATTTTCAATTATTTCTTTCCGCTGTCTTATGTTGATTATTCCAAGTCAGCCTTGAATGCAACCAAGTTATATTTTTCACTTTTAAATAATACAGAGAAATTTCAATGCCAAAATTCTCTTGGAGACATGGAAGTGCACTAGTATTACTATGAACTTAAGGTGAAATAGCTCTGATTCAATAGAAGCAGTGTTTCTGTGAAGGAACTAAAACCTCAAATGGGACATAAGCATACAACCAATAACACAGATTAGAGTCCGACCTTTAGGGCCCATGGGTCCTCTGGGTCCTTCTCCTCCATTCTGTCCAGGCATACCAGGCTCTCCAGGGGGGCCAGGTCGGCCGGTGCTGCCATCTTTACCTGGATTGCCCGGAGGTCCAGGACGGCCTGCAGTACTCTTTACATGGGCTGGTTGGATCTGAGCCATGAGGTAAGCCAGTTTGGCTGGACACAAAAGAACATATACTTCTGTAAGTGTTGTCCTACATTAGCACAAATGAACCAGTTATGTCCCTGAGAAAAAAATCACCTCCTCACCATCTAATTGTTTCGCCAGCTCTTCCTGGATGAGCCGTCTCATCTGCTCCAGTGACACAGACTCTCCCTGTGATGACAAAGACGCTACTGAACTCAGTTTTTAATACTCTATAAATCTCAGTCATCTGTTCATACCTCGGATTTAAATCTATCTACTCTTCGTTGTGACTCACCCTTGGGCCTGGAAGACCAGGGTTTCCTGAAGGTCCTTGTGGCCCAGTAGACCCGAGTTCTCCCGGTGGTCCTGACATGCCCATCATTCCTGTGTGGCCCTTTCTGCCTGGGGGTCCAGGGTTTCCAGGCATACCTGATTCTCCTGCATGTCCTTTATCTCCCTTCACACCTGGGTCGCCCTGGATAAGAACAGAGTAATTGTAAATTTCTGGGCTGGAAGTGCTTCAAAATATCTGATAGATAATCCACAAGGGAAGAGCAGAGGTTCCTTGTTCACTCACTACAGTTGTACGTAAATACATGTTTGAATTCAAACTTGAAATTGTCATTAAAAGTGCTGTTTTTTAATTTGTTTTCTTCTGCTATTTATACATATTGTATGTTTAAGCATATATTAAGAATAGTACAAAGTATACATTACATAATCATAAGGATTAAATTAATAAGATAACGATGCAGCCTATTTGATCCTCCTCTAAAAAAGTGATGAAACTGTGGCTGATAAATGGTCCAAATGAAAATGAATACTGAAAATGGAAGAGGAGGATTTAACACTGGGGAAATTTGTTATTGGAACTCAAGTCATAATACATGATTAAAAAATGTTGGCAGAGTACATACAACAGAAGAATACACAGTTGGCGTGAAGTGTCTGTGGGTGTAAACAAAAGGTTCTCTGGGCCTTTTGGTACGTACTGTTGAGACGGTCCCTGTCTTCGGGTCATTCTACCACTGATTGCTCAAGTCACACTAGATCCAGGTTTTAATTGATACAGTATAATGAGGCAAAACCACATCTGTGCAACATCAGTCATGCTTTGTCTGTGTGTCAGAAGCTCAAGCACACTGTACTGTTTGTCTTCATTTGTGGCTAAGATCAAGTTCAGATCCTATTATAATATTTTGTCCTACTAATTAATGCAAAAAAATAACAAGTCTAAACAAGGGTTCATGTACTTATTCTTGCCGTTCTATATTTGTAGATAGTATTTATTGCATATGCTGTGTATCAACATTTACTCTAGCATATAAATGAACTTGTTATATTGCTCACACTATTTTACATGTTACTTTATATTGTTAGGGTTGGACATTTATATCAGCTTCTTCTTTTTTTGTTTTCCTATTTTTTTGTTCAGCTTAACTAGAGTCATATTTCTTTTTTCCTCAAAAAGGACTTGGATGACAAAGCTGCTTCTGGTTCAGATAATGTATTTGTATATCTCCAGTATTCACCTTTTCACCTTTGAGCCCACGATCACCAATTCTGCCTGGCGTCCCCTACAATCCAAAAACAATGATATGTAAGAGAAACATTTATGAAAAGAGACAATGAATCAGTTGTCCAAGTATATGCATACCTGCTTTCCCTCTGGGCCAATCGGACCAGCTGGACCCTGGAATCCAATATAAAAGTTAACATCACCGACAGAAGCTCAAATCTGAGACTTAATATTAATGTTTAAATCAAAACACACAAAAAAATCCCCCACTCACCGCAGGGCCCTTGGGTCCGCTAAATCCTGGTAATCCTGGGTTGCCGGCCTCTCCCTTGTCTCCCCTGAGACCCTGTGTGACAGCAGAGACTGTTCTTCACATGGCCCACACGAGGCAAACTGTACTTGTACTGTTTAAAAGCCTTGCGCATGAGGATTCAGCAAGATTAACATTTAGCTGCACTTCTTATCAACATGCAGTAGTGCCATGGATAAAGGAAAAGAAAAATCTCATGCACCAATGTTGCGGTGGGACAAGCCAGCTTGAAGAGATTAAGCTGGTTATGGAACAGAATACCACAGAGTGCAGCATGTGTTTGCAGATATTAAAATACACTCCTGTTCATCTAAAATTGTTGAGAAGTGTTTATGTTGTAGCAATGACTTTCTTCTAGAGCGTATCCGCCTCTGTCCACCAACTACACACACCTTTATGGTAAATTTGACCATCTGATAACATTTTGGTGATATCTGATCCTGTTTCTAAATAGAGAACCTTCACCGTCCACTGAGATCAATCCAACTCCTCTTCTAACCTTCATGCCTCTGGTTCCTGCACCTCTTCCTCCTTGAGGCTGTTTCTGATGATACGCTCCCTCAGCTGACTGATTCCATCAAGTCCTCTCTGACAGCCGGCTGCATATCGACTCCCCTCTGGTTAACAACAGTTACTCCTCTGCCTAAGAAAACCACCATTGCAGCCAATGGAACCTCTGCATTTGCTGTATTTTATTTCCCTAACAAATGATATCTGTCACGATGACCTCGGGACTGTGTCCCTCTCCCTCCACTCCCAGCAGCCTCCTACAGATCCACACACTCCCTGATCACTGAACCCTCACACACTTTAATTAACCTCATCTGTCTGCTCAGCAGAATTGTGCCGGTACATTTCTTTATGAAGACTGCGACAGCACTTTCAAATGAAACGTTTCAAGGCAGAGGCTTTTCTGTAGCAGGGGCAGATCCAGGAGCCAGGCGAGGGGGCACTGCCCCCAGCTTAAATCTGATTGGCCCCCTAAGTCCCCCCCTCCTGTCAGTAGTTTTTTTTTAATAAACTAGTCAGTTAAAAAAAACATTAAATATTGCAATATGTTAACATAATTATATATAATATACTCAGTGATGTGTCGCTTTTATCAAAGCTTTAGAGCTATCAGTAAACAAGCAATTACATAAATATGCATTTCAGAAAAATCCTAAATCTGTTCTCTGTAGCCAGTAAAGTGAAATGCTCACATTGCATATTTTTAGTGGCTTTAACTTAAATAAATTCAATCTTTTCAAGGCTTTTTTGAATAAACATGTTAGACATTTGTCATATATTTTTCATGAATACACTTTTCTTCCAAATCATGAAAATCTCATTAGTTTCACATGAGATTTATGCTCTTCTTCTTTTTTGTTCTCTCTGGTTTGAAGTGGATGGAGCTCATTTATGAAAAGATGATGTCATCCACTTTTAAGTGTAGTTTAATTGACTTCAAACATACTAATCAAAATATTAAATCTAATAACCTGTATTGTTTTGATTTGGTCGACACATTATAAGAATGAAGATGGACGACGATGGATGACTGTATTTCTCCCTCTTGGCTGGCTGCAGTGTGCTGGGACATGTACCAAACAAAAACTCAAACTAAAAGACAGAATAATTTTTCTCAAAGATAATTTCTGTCATTTTAGGTTGTTTTTAATCACACTGATTTTTTTAGCGCAAATTTTTCCAGTAACTTTGGTTGCAATTTATTTTTCAATGCCATAAAAACAGGGACAAATGTCATGATTGATAGCTGAGACTGATTCACAATTAGTCGAGGGCCTGTATCAGCGTGTATCCAGGATATTTTCCTTTTTACAGGATGTGAGGAAGTACACATGCATTGTCCAACTTTATTTACAGCCATTGCTCTCAAGGAGGAATGCTAGTCATAGTTGCTGAATCACAATGAGTTTTTTGGGTTGTTTTATTTGAATTAAAAGACACTAATTGTTTATTTTTCTACCTTTTTCAAGGTATTATCCTTGATTCAAATTGTTCCTCTATTAAACTTAATTCAAGAGATCCCATTAATAATGCATTTGAAATGAATGACCGCCAATACAAATCTGATTTTGTCCCTTCACCAATGATTCCCTCACAGTCCTCACACAAACTTATTTGCATCTTGCATCATCAGAAGATTCACACTTAACGTCTGCAGTGTAGCTACAGTGTTTGTCTGTGGATGTGCTTATGAAATTCAAAATCTTGTATGAGCCACACAGACCTGCTGAGGGATTCATAGGCCTGTTTGCCTCTTGGAGATGCTCCACTGCAACCTGACCTCTGTGCTTTTAATATTTCTCGGCAATCAGCTTTTCTCCTGCTGGCAGCAACCTGGTCAAATCCTTTCAATCCCAGCTCGCCCAGGGGAAAGGGATGTTTTCCACCGTGGTCAGGACAACATTCACTCCAATCTTCCATCATAACCTGACAGCACATCAGTTCTAGAAATACTTCACATCCTCCTCTCACATTCAGTTACATCCCACACACAGCAACCGCTTGTTCTATTAACTCTGAAAATGCTACTTTTTCCAGTTTTTCCTTTGGTCTCTCATTCACTTCTCTAATAAACTTGATCTTTAAGTAAAATATAGAATATATGTCATTACCTTTAAAGGTATATTTTGAAGCGAATTTAAACATTATGTCAAATTCTGCGAAGATCTCCTCAAAGTCAGCTGTACATTCCCTGTGTTTACTGGTTTAAATGCACAGCCCTGCCTCAGTAATTGGGAAACAAAGAAAGCTGGATGACCCAAACTCCACAACATCGTTCCAGCCAAGCAGCAACAAAGATATTTGTGATTGTGCATAGGGAAAGGGTGGTGAAGGAATGGTGGGAGTGAAAGAAAGGTCTCTGAAGCAGAAACAGCAATTTCCATAGGATTGGTCTGACATGTGTGGTCTCAAATGAGATAATGTGATTCCTCTGCCTTCTAATATAACTACTTTTAGTCACCGGAAATGCTAATATCGCTATTTCAAAGGACACGATAACCACAATCAATTTCAGAGCAGCACTCTAAACGGGGACATCACACCATCATCATGCACGGGAGGAAGAGAAAACTTACTGGAGCTCCTGGGAGACCTGATTTTCCTGATGGTCCTGGTTCCCCTGGCTTGCCCTGTGATGTAAAAGGAAAAAAGAAAAGATAGAATGAGAGACTTGATGGAGAAAGACAGCCAGAGAGACAACTTGAGTGCCTTCGATGTCCATATCTATCTGTCTGGCTGTCTGACGCAAGCACAAGACCGAGGCGACACAGTGTCAAGCAGTGTCTGACAGGGACTGAAAATGACTCACCGACTCTCCTCTTGGTCCAGCAAGTCCTTCTGGACCTGATGATCCCCTGGAGCCCTGCAAAGACAAAGAACCAGACACTCTAATCACATTGTCTACAGGTTGAAATCACTGCGACTTCTTCACATCTCATCTCCAGGTCATGCTTCAGGGCAGGAATGACCATTTTAATCTACTGAGCCGAATTTGAACTCACACCTTTTAATAAGAGTCAGGTGAAAACCTGGAGTTGCAGTAGGAGACTTGTGACTGAGAGGATGAGTTACGCAGAACATGGAAGTGTAATGATAAATGACCTCTATGGTTTAAAATAAACAATATTGCCATGAGACCTTTATTATACAGAAATAACTGAAAAATCATTGTTCTGATGAAAATGTTGCTCTCTGTTATTACTGTAATTTTTCATACAGAGTTGAATCAATCGTTGGGTGATTGATTCAACACAGAAAAATTATTATTCCTCTGATCTGGATGACTGAGACACTATTTTATGAAATATAGTCCCATGGAATTTTAATAGGAAAGACAGATATTTGCTGTAGGGACATGTGTGCTAACTTTACACAGAAAATCTCTTCATGAAAGCTGGGGTAGAGGCTAATTGTTATTTGTCTTGAGTGGATTGAATCATTTTAAACATATCCCTTTTTAAAATGAACAATCACTCATTTGAATTGTATGCACATCAGAAAAAAAACACCCCAAGGATTGATGTCCACATGGGACACGGGAAGATGTCCCCATGACCTTGACTGTTTGAGGTTGATTTCTGAACACTGGTCTCACAAAAACTTCCTATCCAAGATGTTTTTCTATGTTGCAAAAACATTTTTTTTAAACACGATACCATCAAATGCGTCAGAAGTTGAACATACCTCCTTTCCAGGTTTGCCGTCATGCCCAGGTAATCCAGACTTTCCATCTTCTCCCTGTTTGTCACATAAACATTTAAGAGAAACTCTGTTCTACTTGAAGATTGTCTAACATCAGTTACACAAAAACATTTCAGGGAGAAATCTGTTTAAATTTAAATGATATGGTGTTTTTATATATTTTCACTTATTTCTATGTGAATAATTCATGTCTCTTCACATAAATATCATTACTATATAAGTATGAAAAATCCTAAGTTTTAAAGATACAGAGCTTACATTTCTTTTTATGATCCATATCAATTATTCAACTAAAGGTATGTATTGTGTTATATTTAACCTCATCTGACACAGGATAAGATGTATCTACACCTGTTCCCTGCATGAGAAATTCAAACTGTCACATCAGCACAAAAAAGTGGCAGCGTGACGGGAAATGAAGGAAACTTTGGAGTTTATCATCATAGTGTTAAGTCCACAGAAGGAAGATCATTATGATGGTTTTCAGGGTGAGATCCTGCCACACTGCATCTATACTTATTATTCTGTATAAGTCAAAAGTTTCCTGAGTATTCTTAAAAATAATTTTCATGACTTTTACTGTTTACTGACTGTCATTATTAGTATTGGTGATTTTCAGGGTCACTATGGAAAATCAATAATGAACCGAGCTATTGGTCACGGCACTGTGGCACCAACCTTTCCCGTGGGCCTCTTGTGTAGGGACACAAAAGCAGCAAGTGCGAGGGATTCTCTTAGAGAGGGTGTGTGTCAAAAAGCTCTGACTGCAGCTGCATGCTGTTCCCTGAACTCCTGCAGTGATGGTTGCAGTAGAGGGGGTTTTCATCATCCACTGTTCCTCAGCAGTTGTGTGTAGTTATTAAGATGCTACAGTTTTCAAATCCTGCAGTAATTATTTTTGCATATTTCTTTTTTAACTCCCCCGAGGAGGTTATGCTTTCACCTATATCTGTTTGTTGGTTGATGTGAAAGAAAAATTACACAAAAACAACTGAACAGGTTTACACTTGGAGACTTGAAAGGATGCCGTGTGGGTCAGCAAAGAACCCATCAAATTTGGGATTTTTTTTCCCCTCTTCCTTTAATTGATCTAATATAATATTACAAGATTAATTCATAAATCTTGACGTAAACTATCAGACATGTTTAGGGGACTGATATATACAAGTCTGTGCAAAAATTTGGATCTAGTGAATTTAAATTTGGTTTTAATAAGCAGACTTTTGGGCTTTAATGGAGGTATGCACTCTTCTGAGAGGGCAAAGAATGACTACAGTAATATTTGGTGCGGATCTGGACCAAGTGGTTGATCCAGGAATGTCTTATCACTTTCTTTGACACTGTGAGACAGGACATTTTATGACAATTTTTCTGATTCCAAAAACAATATACATTACATTACATGTTATTGTTGTATGTTGACGCTTTTATCCAAAGTGACTTACAATTAGTGCATTCAACATCTATGAGATGATACATGGACCTTGATGAGAACTGGGACTGAATTCTATTAGTGTGTGATAATGGTGGAGCTTGTTTTAATATAAGGGGGGCGTTGGGTCTTGGTGAGTTCCATTGTAGTATTGTGAAACACTTGTGCAAAAGTGTTGAAGCAGTTAACTAATGTTTGTAAGAGAGCTGATAAGGATGACTGCTGTTTCATATGTTCATATGGAAACATGGCAGCACCAGGCCCAAATTTTCACCAAAGCCCAGTGAAATCACACTTTTCATTAAAAAGGAGCGAAAACACTTCGACCTGAAAGATGTTCTGCTTTTTCAGATTCCCTAAACCATTTTCACTTCTATTTTTAATATGAAATGTTTGAACTGAACACTGCTGACACAAACAGGGGAAGCTTTCACTGTGAGTCAAACAGAAGTATAGCAGCTTCTCATGCGTGTTCTTTTATAATTTAGGACATGGCAGGAATTGATACAATTCACTATTATAATTGCATTGTACCAAAGTGTAGTATTAGTTCCTTTTGATTAAGTTATGAATTCAAGTCTTAAAAATTGTATGCTTACGCTGATGAAAAATGACACCAAAGAATAAAATCAGCCTTTTTTTGTGATCCTGTTCAAATAAATGAACAAATAAGAAGTGGCACACTGACCTTAGGTCCTGGAGCTCCAGGTTCTCCTCTGTGGCCTTTAAAGCCCTATCCAGGGAGAGAACACACATTAAATAAGGCACAACAGATTGCACTGCTTCTTCCATCAGATCTGTTTACTGGAGGTTACTCACCGGGAGTCCCCTGAGCCCAGAGTTTCCTTGTGGCCCAGGTTCACCCTGCTTGCCCTTTAAATAAGACAAAAATAGTTGCAGAATTATATCTTGACATGTTTTATCCTTATCTGCAGATGTGTGTTTTATAGCTGGTGTTTCAACGTATGCAGGTCAGATCATTCACTTACAGATTCTCCTGTTTCACCTGGTCTGCCATCCTTTCCCATTTTCCCAGGCTGACCCTGCAGAGCAGAAGGTGAAACATTTTACAACTGCATTTACATATCACACTGTTCCCAACACAGTGCGAGATCTGTAAGTATACTCATGTATATTAATAATGCTGCAAGTCAAATCAATTGTCTTACTATCATGCCAGGAAGGCCTGGTGGTCCCTGGATTCCTTTGAGACCCTCTTTACCCTAGTGAAAACAAACAAACAGGTCACCATCACCAAAGGGGAAAAAAATGATTAATGGCCACTATTACTACACAGGCTGTCTGACCTACATGCTAGAGGGAGGAGGTTTGCACGATAATGACACATGGGTAATACGTTTTTTTGAGGGGAAGTACACCCAACGTAGCCTGACCTTTTCTCCAGGGGGCCCTGGGGGACCGACGGTGCCTGGCTGTCCATCGTTACCCTGAAGAGGAAAGAGACAGTGTCAGTGGAGGTCAACAGAAATAGAAAGCCTGACTGTGAGACCAAATATTCATAGAAAAACCTTAAATACTGAGAACAATTAGAGTGCATGTGCTTTCAAACTAATTAGCTAAAAATAGAAACTTACCGCTGCCCCCATCGAGCCAGGAGGACCTGGATGACCAGGGGGTCCTGGGTGACCCTGTTAATACAGAAAATAATGCTTATAATATGATTATGTGCTTCCTTCCTGCAAATGTTTTAAATAACGTTAAAAAGGATTTAAAAGGTCTTCAAACAGAGCTAAAAGAGGAAAATAAACAATAAAATGCCAGAGTCGTGAGTCATAAACCTTTTCTCCTTTGTCTCCAGCTGCTCCAGCAGGTCCTCGATCACCTTTTATACCCTGTGGTAAAGGGAAAGATTATTATTTTATTTGATGTCACATTTCAAGAGGAAAAAATCCATATAAAAGGGTTGAATCAATCAATTTTGAAATGTTATTCAATTCAACTTAATTAATTGAACGGTGTTGTGACAGTAAACATTTCACCATATTACTTAAAAAGTGTAATAAAAACAACACCAATGGGACAAAAATAACTTAGTGTTGGCCATTTGGGAGCAGTAAAGGAGCAGTTAGTGTGCAAACTTGCCTTTCCTCCATCAGCTCCAGGGGGTCCTTGAGGTCCCACTTGCCCCGGTGGGCCCTGTAATGACACAGCAGAGCATCAGTCTCTGTCCAGCCAGACAGCACAGAGCACCGTCGCCGGGTCCTAATTGTTCACTGGTGCCCCCAGAGGAGGCCTAGCTAATGATGCGGACAGAGCCTCTCCATCCGTCACACCAACTGTGACTGATGGTGATTAAAGCGCAGCTTGCACCCCATGCATCACACAAGGCTGTTATAGTGGAGAATCACACTTTCTAACACTCCGTTAAAGATGAGCAGAGTTATCAAAGTAGACTTCACATTACAGAATAACTGAGGTTCTGAACAGAGATGTTGGACTGTTAATGACTTTGTCCTACTTGGAAACCGTCTTGACCATTTTTCCCTGGAAGACCCGGGTGTCCTTTATCTCCGAGGACTCCTGGAAGACCAGGTTGTCCGGGTGGACCTGCAGGGCAGTCTGAGCAGACATCCTAAAAGACAAAATAAAGTGAGCATTCACAGCATCTGAACAGATTTCTCATTAAGTGGAAGTAGAAATGCCTCTTACCTTCAGATTTAGGTCAGAGAGGTCTGCTGCCTTTCCCTGAGAGACGGGATGAAAAAGTTAATCAGTCAGGGAATGGAAGATTATGGGATGTATTCACTGGGCAACAGAAGAGTTAAATTCCAATGTATCCTTATATATTTAGTAAACCCCTGAACACAACACGTGACTGCTGAACATTCAGTTCAGAGAAGGAGAGTATTAAAACTGCTGTAATCACTCCACTCTTCAGCTCTCAGGCTTTCTACCAGGTTATGAAACTGCAGCCATGAAAACACGGGTCAAGTCCAACACTGATGTTGAAAGGTAAGGCTGTGGCCCCACAGTTGGTTTTCCAATTCATCTCAAACGTGTTGGATGGGGTTGAGGTCGGGGCTCTGTTCAGGCCAGTCACATTCTTTCACACCAAACATGGAAAACCATTTCTTTGTGGTCCTTTGTTTTTTTTATTGCAGGGGGGCATTTTCATGTTCAAACAGGAAAGGGTCTCCAACAAACGGTTACTACAACCCTGAAGGCTCACTTATGTACAGTGATTATGATGTATGCAAGTATTTTTCTCTCGAAAATTATTTTGTTTAAGTACATAAGTATACTCTCCTGATGTACCACCACATATCTAATAGACATTTACAGTATATCTTCATATAAAATATGAGTTTGAGCAAGAGCTCAGACAGCATGGCTGCTTCAATGTCTGTACTTACAGGCTCTCCGGGTGATCCCTTCTCTCCTGGCCTTCCTGGTAAACCCTGTATTCAGAGCCAAGGACAAAGAATTCAACCATTTTATCAATTGCTGATAAATTGGTTTTGAGATACATATGGCGATGATAGAAGGTTGGCGTAATGAAGGAGGGAAGGAGTAAGATGAATAAAACTCATTCATTATTAATCTTTGCACTTACGTTATGTCCTGCTGGACCCTGAGGACCAGCAACTCCAGGTAGACCCCTCAAGCCCTGAAACCCAGATTAACACATATCAGAGAAGCACTTGAGGAGAAATATTCAAAAGTAATATTTTAACACTCACTGCAGGTCCAGGCTTGCCATCATTTCCTATTGGCCCCTGTGAAGGACAAGCTTTGTAATATTCGGTAATATATAAATAAATAAATACACAATATGCAGTATCAGTGGCATTGATGCTCATACCGCTGGTCCAACTTTGCCTTCTCCTGGGGAGCCCCTGTCCCCTTGTGGCCCTGTTTCTCCTCGGGACCCTGGTTGACCCTGTCAGAAAAAAAAAAATCACTATCCTGCTCTTCAGCTAATATCAGATCAGCCATAATGCACAGCAACCATCACATTCAGTGATGCCTGCTGATCCCAGAAATACCACAATGTTGTTATTCAGCGATGGGAAAGAAAGATACAATCTGAAGTTGACATTTTGCTTCTCAAAGGAAAACTTGCATTGGTGATGAGGGGGAGCAATTCAACACCATAAATCTAGCAAACGCCCCTGTCCGGCCTCCTCTGCCCCAGACATCCAGCTCTCCACAGCAAAGGGCCGGTCATAATCAGAGCAACAGTCACACTGCGGTGGACATAGAAATTGCTTTTTGCTGTTTTCAACAAAAATGAATAGTTTTTCTCATCTGTGCCAAAAAAAAAGTCTTCACATCAACAAAAAAGCACCTGTGCATGATAAAAAAAACCCCACCTCAGGCGACCTACAAAGATTACACACTGACAAACTTGGTTTCAAACTTCCAAAATGTTACCTTTTGCCCTGGGGGTCCTTGAATTCCCTGTGGTCCTGGATCTCCCTACAATATCAACAAATAACATAAATCAAATATCTTGCTACAACTAATATCAAGCATCTTTCAAATAAATCATTTCAGGCTGAAGATGTGTACGAGTTGCCATTCCTCATGCACTTAATTGTTAGTGAGGCCTTGGGGGCCACACCTGGCAGCTGTAAAAAATGAAAAAAACAGAACTGCTGTGAGCCAGATCTGTTGCTTTAATGTGATATGTCTTAACGGTGCTTTTCCTGTGTGCTGCTGCCTCGTCAGCAGCACGGCCACATGTCTGAGGTGAAAAGAAACATGTTGAGCTGCTCAGCAAAATGTGCAAACTCAGACTCATTTACTGAGACTAATTTCCCTCTAATATTGTGCAGTGGTTCGGCCTCTATCGCAGGCAGAGGGACGTTTACAGGCAGAACATGTGCAAAGCAAGAGACTGTTCATGAGGTTTTTATTACGAACAGCTGAATGTGAAGCAGACATATTTTGTTTCCTACAACTAAAATACCATAACTTTTGATAGGTTTGTCACCATCTTGTCTCATCTCTAAAACCACCCTGACATGTTAATCATGTTAATTAAGAGTCATCTTAAACTTTTATTCAGATCAAGGGCTGGGGAATGAAACAAAATCAATGATTATCGCAATATATAATTTTCATCGATGGCAATATAACAAGGCTCAGTATATATAAATTATAATACGTATGCATTGTAATGAGGTACAACACATAATGATGATGAAGAGTTTAAAAGCTCTAAATTCTAGTCGAGATTCAAACATTTCCAACTCAATATACAGCATACGGGGCGGCCATGGCTCAGAACGTAGAGCAGGTTGACCACTCAGCAGAGGGTTGGTGGTCCAATCTCCTGAATGGTGAGTTATAAAAAGGTGCTGTGTATAGAAGCCTTGTATAAATGTAGCAGTTGTTTAGAAGAGGATGTGTACAAAACACTGCAAATGATCGTCTTACATTTTGCCCTTCTTTGCCCTTCCCTGGTGGTCCAGAAGGTCCAGTCAAACCAGGCTCTCCAGGTGGGCCTGTGGCGCCTGCTTGTCCTGGTTTACCCACTTCACCCTAAAATAAGAATAAAGATTGAATTAATGTCTCTCAAGGCTACAAACAGCAACATCATTTGCCATGTCTTTCTACTTTATCTCGACTTTTAATTCTGACTTTCAGACTAACATCAGTACTGTTCCATGTGTAATATTGCTGGTGCAACTAGTGTTGTGTATTGTGTAAACTGCTGTCCTCTTATCATGCAACTGTAGGTAAGGAGAAAACAAGGACATGGGAACAAACATTTACAACACTGCACTTTTTTTTTTTAAGTCACTGCAGTAACTCTGAAAAAAAACATAGCAGTCAGTGGAAAATATTGTAAAGTGCTGTTGTGAATCTCTGACATCTTGCTACTTCAGCTGCTGCAGGACTGAAATGAATTCTCTGCTGAAACAATAATGGAGGACATGCAAGGTCACGCTCTAGGCTTTGCAGACTTATTTACATTCTGCTCTCACAAAACCATTCAGAACATCTGACTAAATAGACCCATAGCTTTTCATTACAGGTGACTGACCTTGTCTCCCCTCTGTCCAGCTGGACCAGGAGGCCCAATGATCCCAGGTATGCCCTAGAACACAGACAACTCATGGTTTCATACTGTGGGGATTTGTTATCAGTTGGCGACTGAATATTCCAGTCTCACATTCATCTGGTTGATAGTCATTGGAAATGCAAGCAGGCATTAATAACTTGCACCTTAAATTGATTTTAAAAGCTTGAAACCTACCACGCTCCCTGGTAATCCACGAGGACCTTGAAGACCAGCTATGCCAGGTGGACCCTGGGAGAAACACATCAGCCATTAAAGTATAAGTAAATCTTCCCTTCCTGGTGTGGAATGGTTAATTGCATTAAATCAGACAACTCACGGGGTCTCCAACACGTCCCGTCTCTCCTGTAGGACCAGTGTCGCCTTTTGGACCCTGGAATAAAAAAAACAGCGATTCAGAAGGTCCTGCACTTTTAATGAATGAAATAAAGAAGGTAAGGGATTGGGAGCATGTTACCGCCAGTCCAGCTGGTCCCTTGAAACCTTGTTCACCAGGTAATCCTCGTTGGCCCTTCAGACACAAATGAGCATGTGAGTTTCAGTAGTTTAAGTCTACATGCCAAATTAGCTCATTCATTTTTATATGTATATTTCTCATACAGCTCTAATGCTGATACATCTGTTATGCTCATAGATGACAAAGACATGGAATGAATGTAGGTTAGAGATAATAACATCCATGCATGAAGAATTACAATAGTTCTGTGATAAATGTAAGAATTGTCTGCCATCAACTTCATAAAGAGAAAGTCAAACATAATAAAAATACATGCTTACATTTTTGATTTTAAGTATGTGCTAATTATAGTCCATCATTTATTTTTGCAAGTGTTTACACTGCCTCCAGGCCGGCTGATCCTAAATATAACTATATTGCCTGTTTTCTATTCTGGTCCAAGTAATATCCTGTACTTCTCTGAAATGAAGCGTATAAAGAATTGGGGCAGTGCGTCGCTTTCAGGTTAATTTACTCAGCCAATTAAAACATGTCCCTCGAGCATCCCTTGCTGTAGCAGGCTCGCGCCTTCTGCTTTCCATTAAAGATCTCTACTGACATCTAGTGGGTTGTCTGCACACTAGCAGAGGCTAGACTTCAGTTTTGGTTAAATTGAAGAGGAAAAGACAACAGAGAAAAACTCACGATTTCTCCTGGTTTGCCTTGATCTCCTTTCTCGCCCTTTTCTCCAGGTATTCCCTTGAGGTGAGAAAAAAAAGATAAGATGGAACTTTATTGAAATCATGTTGAGGAAATGTACAGCAGCAGATATAGTAAACAAGAGAACACATGGAAGTTTAAAATTGAATATAAAAAAAGAGAATATGTACTTAATATACACCTGTCACCGTAGACAGATTGTTTGTAGAGAAATGTGTTTCAGTTTAAAACATAAACCAAGCACAGGATAAATAAAATGAACAAAACCAGCGTTACAATACATTTTCACACAGTTTGGTCCATGTGCTTAAAAATAAACGTCTACTCACAGGTTCACCAGGCTCAGGGATGACATTTGCCACCTAAGAGGTAAAAAGAGACGATTATAATTTACTTACATCTGCAGTGAACTGACAAACTGTATTTCTGACTCAACATCTTTTATCATTTTGTTCCCATACAGCATATGTCACTGCCTTAAAAACAAAAGAAGCACACTAGAAAGGAGAGAAATTTAACTGACATTTCCTGGAGCGCCGGGTGGTCCCATCGTTCCAACTTCACCCTGAGGCAAGAGACAATATGTTCATTGTCTGCATACTAACCACCTTATTACAGCCAATAGTGCAACATGACCACTACTGACAGAGCAGGATGACTCCATCTACTGTACCACGTTAGAGTCAGCACTTCTGTCTACTACATTATGTTTAAGAAATATTTCTAAACAATAAAATGTACAACATAAGAAAAACAGGCTCATTCTTTCTTATTTACCTTGTCTCCCTTTTCACCTTTTGGCCCAAACGGTCCATCCATTCCTCTTTCTCCCTACAGATAGATAGGGAGGCCAAAATCAAAAATTTAAATATTTCAACGTCAGCTAACAATATTTTTACATTACACAACCGATAACATGTATTATTTTATTTGAAAGTAGTAAATTGAGAATAGTGGCTCTGAAGGTAGCATTTGGGGAAACCAAGTAGCCTATGGTAAGGTTACCCAGCCAAATTAAGGGATCAGTGTGATTTAGTGACATCTAGTGGTGATGTTGCATGTTGCAGCTGAATACTCCTCATAATTTGTACAATTTAGGTGAAACACAGTGAATGTTAATTATCTACCAATAGATTCCCTCCAGCTAAATCTTACACACTGAATCTTTAAGGTTTATTTCAGCGATATATATATATATAATACACATACATATCTATCGAGTTATATCTAAATATATGTACTGATACTTTGCTGCTGTCTTATAGGAGTTTCCCAGTTTGGGATAAATAAAGTACATCTGTCCATCTAAATGATTTTTAGAGGGCGTCTGTCCATGCACAAGGGTAGGCATTGTGCAGGTCAATATCAAATCAATAACAGAGGCCAATCTTGTAAAATGGCAGTGTTTAGTCTTCTTGACTGAGGAAACATCTGGTGTTGCTTGATAACATGCACTGAGTCACACCCACCGGAACGCCCCTATCTCCTCTTGCTCCATCAGCACCTGGTTGTCCAGGGGAACCAGCTTCTCCCTAAAAAACAATATGCATGTGAGTGACATGTTAAATGTTTTTCACTGTGTTAATAAAAACTACAGCAAAGTCAACAGCTGTGAACTCACTCTCTCCCCTGAAGGTCCTCTTGGTCCAGGTGGGCCATCATCCCCCTGGGGAGAAGAAAGACCAACATTAAAATGTCAGGTTTGCATTTGGAGAATACACATGCATATCTCTCATTAGGTGCATGAGTCCTGCATGTTTCTGGGTTAAGATGAAGTCATACCTTAGTTCCAGGCTTTCCAGGAAAACCATCTGCTCCACGCTCTCCCCTGGGCCCCTTCGCAGACATGAGATCATGATTTAGATGTCATAATAATAAAATGTGAAATTGATGTAGTTACTGTATGCAGGTACTGTATGTAGTTATAGGTAAATGCAACATAACCCATATACTACATCAGATTTAAGTACAGCAGTTTAAATGTTTTACACAAGCTTCATTGTTCTCATGTTCAGACAGAATTTTCTATTTCATCCTACATGGACATGATTCAAAGTTCTGAAAACAGGCTGGAATCTGGTCAGCCTCGGTAGATTCACAAGTAATTCTATCTTAGGTCACACATATAGCTCCAATTGCATTCTTCACTCACTTCACTTCACTCTAAGGTATTATCAAATACAAATATATGATTTTATAGTTACAAAATGCAAAAAACAGGGTGAACAGCAAAAAAAGAAAGAAAAGATGAGTCAATGAACAATGCTCGATCATTTGATATGAACCTCATGAACAAAGTGAGAGTGAACCAAAAAAGTCAAATCCAAAGTGGGTACAGGTGATCAATCCTGTGGCGTCTATATGGAAGGTCATCTAATTACTAGTTCGATCCCCAGCCAGTCTGCATTCTGAAGTGTCCTTTGGCGAGATACTAAACCCTGATGGCTGTGCTGACAGTGTATGAATGGTGTGTGATAGAAAAAGCAATGTGTATAGTAACGCTATATACATTTGAGGGAAACGGGTGAATGTGTACTGTAAAGCTCTTTGAGTGCAGTACAACCAACTTTGCATAAATATAGCCCCAAGCACCAATTTTCTGTGATATCAAGCTAGCAAGGATGGCAAAGATAGAAAAGTTACAATAAAGGTGATACTGACCACAGCACCATCATTTCCCTGAAGACCGTCAAGTCCATCTTTACCAGGAAGACCCTTTGAGAATCAGAGACAAAGGACATTTAGTGTCAAGTGTAAAAAAATTAAACATTAATGAGTCATGGAATGACAGATAACTCACAGGCTTCCCAGACTCCCCAGGTTTGCCTGAAAATCCAATTTCACCAGGAAGACCCTTTGTAAAGAAAGAACATCAACATGATCAACGTTTTATAATGGACTATATAAGCACAGCCACGTCCTGGTTGTGGTCTCTGGTCACTTACAGGAGGTCCAGTATGTCCTTGGTTTCCTGGTGGCCCAGATGGACCCTGAGGACCCTGCAAAATAAAAATAAAAAGCATTTTCTAAACAAAATATCAAATATATTCATGAAATATTTCTTGCCAAATATGTTCAAAAACTATTTAAATTTCCCCAAAGAATTGTATTCATGTGACCTCCAAATCCCAGTGTACATCCAATACAAGCGAGCAGCCACAAGAGGGGGATATAAGTGCAGTAAACGGCTCATTAAGTTTTGGATTCCACTTAGAGACAGGTGCATTTCCGCAGTGCACCAGGGAGCAATTTGCAAATTTAATTGGCACAACTGGTTGGTTTTAAACTGTCCTGTTTGTTTTTCCCTCTAACACACACAGTGAAGACACCTCTGAGAGAACAGCCACTGCTCTGTGGGTCACATCAAATATTGAACAACCCACACGGTTAAAACATCAAATTAATTCTCCTCAGTTCTCCTTGAAATGTTATTGAAGCCCAAAAGTAAAGAGCTGAACACTTTCAACAAGTGTGTTGCCAACGTGTGCACTTTGCTTGTTGTGAAATGAAATGTGTTCTTACAGGAGGTCCAGGGAGGCCATCAACTCCAGGTAATCCATTTTCACCCTTCTTGCCCTAAAAAAAACAATATTGCATCAAATTAATATAAGCATTAAAACATTGATTGAACAGTGTAGGGGGCGCTGTTCTCAGTTTTCTATAAAGACAGATCATGTCCTCTGTATAAGTTTTTTTTTTTTTCAAATTTCAAGGTTCAGCAGATATGCCATAACTTGAAAACATTTCTTTAAGTAATTCATTATTGTAGGTGATAATGTTTTTTTTCAATTGCATAATTATTCAATCAAGATTTAGCATTTCTCTTACAGGAACAGATTTTTTTTCCTGATATAAGTTCTAGGTGTTCGTTGGTTTCTAACCATAACAAAATTGAAACTAATCCTGGACCACGAACATTTCAAAGCTTTTGATTTTATCATTTTTTGATTAAAACTGTGAATAAACACTTTAACAAACATCAGTCTGATAAGAACTGCCTTTGATTTTAGTGTTTGGCTCATGTCCCATCTGCAAACATGGTAAATGTAGAATTTATGACTGCAGGCAGCCACTAGATGGTGGCCAAGGCACTTTGGCTTCATTTTTCTTTGTATACAGTCTATGCATTGACTCTTTTGGAATTCATGCAATTTATTTTAGTCAAGCTATACTAAAGATCATATTTTAAAGTGTATTAACTTTTATAGATTCAATATGAAAGATCAAAACTTGTGTTCAATTTAATTTACAATTAAATCTATTGTATTAAAGTGGTTAATGTTATGTGTTCTCGCTCACATCCCCAAAAACATGTCTCTTCCAAAGAAGACAAGCCAATATTAAAAATAAATATAGTCCATGATCCATGTTTTTCTTCATGTGTCTTGATATGGTTGCTTGCTGTTCCCTTTGTCCACATTCCAGCTCAGGCTACCCTCAGCTGTCTTACCAGGATAAAGGTGAGTAGACAGGGCTCAGCAGAGGTGACATTGACGGTTGATGAAAGCTTTGCAGCAGTGGAGGTTGGGAGCCGCTCAATCTATACCAACTCAACCATACAGCCGACTCTATTATCGCTGGCAGCAGCGGAGACCACACTATTATCCCAGCTCTCAGCCCACCTTCACCCCCTCTCACACCCTGTCCTTGAGCATCTGCAGTTGAGGTTTAACAACCCTAAACCCAGAGAATAACAACCTGAACCCAGTGTGTCGACTTTAATGTCAAATTAAAATTCCCTCAGACATTTCTGAGGACATCGTCTTTCATTCACGACGAGAGGAAGCGCAGCTTTACTCAGCTGTCTTACCGAGCAAATGTTGATTCCAACGTGATGCTGATGAGAAGTTAATTGCTCCCAGAAAAAAAAAATAATTATCACCATCTTTGTTTATGTATTGGAGGAACAAATTATGAAGAATCACTGTGTGTGTTTTAATTACATGAGCCCAGTAAGTACATGGAGGGAAAAGAATGAGAGCTGAGGTACAGTTTTGAGATAGTTTTACAAGCAATGACAAAAGTATTGGCTCTGATTAGCGTGAAGAATCAATCAATTTATTTTGACTGGGAAAAAAAAAATTGCATTTGATTATGATAAATGCACTTAAAGGACAATATAACATTAATTTCCATTTACTTTAAATTAGACCTGAATTTCAGTTTTTGGGCAGGAACACTAAACACAAAGTCAAAACTTTGAATCAAGTGAAAGGTTTAGTTTGAATATTTTGCAATGTTTTTAATACATTCATTAATAATATTTTCCCTATTGCAGTATGATGATAAACAATGTAATCAAGTCACATTATGTTTCTCTCTAAATGGTTGTTCTCTCTTCCATTCAGGTAGAATATCAGGACTTGTATGAGCTTTTCATGTTGTGATCATAAATAATCATATGTATAATATTAAACTCTTTAGTCCGTAACTCCATATCAAAATTATGCAATGATCCAATTTCAGCAATAAAAAAAAAAAAAAAAAAGATGAGTAGAAAGTTGATTAATATTAAGTAAAATTCATCCCTTGAATTTGTCTTGTCTTTCAGGAAGCCCAGAGAGTTTATTAGTACTTTTATCCCAATCCACAGACTGGGCACTGGGATAAAAAATAATAATTCTGGCTCAAACCACAACACTAGCCTTAACATATATCAATGCATTACTTAGTTCATGGAATGTTAAGGTTACATGAGAAGTACAGGGAATTTGGCCATGACTTGTGAGGAGTTAATGGTTCTGTCAAGGTGCAGATTTGTCAAATTAGACAAACATGACTGGCAGATGGACACATTTAAAAAGGAGTGATGGATTGCCGCCCAAGATTTATTCATCACATCGGCAGTTTTAATACTTAATGTCTCAACCATTCCACCTCCAGAGCTGTTGTGTTTCTGCCAACATTTCATAAGGGGACACTGTCCCAGCAATGTGCTGTAAACTCGGGTATAGATATGTAGACAGTACTGTGAACCAAAACAACAACAGATAAGATTACACTTCACATGTGTAGATATTTGACAGGTGTAGTCTGTAGTGAATGAAAGCCATGTTCACAAAGTCATCTATCACAATAAGATTCTTACCCTTTGGCCAAACTCTCCAGGTTCCCCGGGCATACCTTGCACACCTGGAGGACCCTGAGGAATGAAATGTTCAGTCATCAAGTGCTCACACAGCATGACTGCTGCTTTCATGTATTGCTCAGAACTACATCTGAACAGGTTACTGTTCCACAACAAGAGCTCAACTACAAAAAAAAAAAGGAAACGTAGGAAGGAAGAAATAAATCACAATTCTTACAATAGGTCCTGGGGGGCCCTCAGCCCCTGGAGGCCCAGGAGGTCCAGCATCTCCCTAAAACATGTCCAACATACACGTTATCATTATATAGACAGTCCACAGTGGTGTACTCAGTTGGGTTTTTTTAATTGTAGTTTATCATAGTTTATGCAGCAGGTGGTCTTTAAATCTTTACTTCTTTGAATGAGGCAAAAATATAAACAAATGTATTATTGAAAAGTGACTCACCTTTTCACCCTGTAAACCATCTTTTTGAAACTGAAATTAAAACAATGAGGAATCAGATCCATTAAGATTGATGATACTCACATAAGTATATCATTGTCAGACTCATTTAGTCAGCCTGGTCATTTCATAGCACGTTTTGTTAAGAGTTTTGGTTTACTGTACAACAAAGAGCAGGTTCTGGACAATAACAGTAGTGCAGAGTGAGAATATTTGATCTAAAAGACTAAACTGATAGATCGCAGACAAATAGAAGCTGAGGAGATACAAAAATCAAACTCAGGCAGCGAAACAAGAAAAAGACTAAGGAACAAATAACTAAACCAGGTTTGAGGAAACACATAGAGCATGAATATGAGCACAACAGACTAAGACTGGTCACACTGACATCAGATACACAAGGCAGGCAGGGATGATTGGACACAGGTGAAACTAATTGGGGCGGGACAAACAAACACAAAGGAGGGAAACCAGACAAAGACAATAGTCAAGTGAATAAGAGACATCCCTTCAAAGTAAAACAGGAAATAATAGAAAAAAGTCAAATCCAAAAATCCCTAAATAAATTCACTTTGAACATTAGAGTTATTTCCACAGTCCTTTACAGAGGCCGGCCCTAACATGTCACCATAAAACACTTGGCTAAGTTTATTTCTTCTGTCAAACTTTTCCATTTTTTTGTTAGTGATACAAATATACATATCGGAAAAATATGCTCTGCTGTTCTTCGCAAACTATAGTGGTAACTTATTAATATCATTACATATGTATATATATATATATATATATATATATATAGATAGATACTAATATTTTTTATCAATAATTCAAATTGATTTTACATCAAAAAACAAAAAAAAATCCACAGTATGTATGTATTCAGCTTGTTTGACCTTAGTAAATATCCAAACCGTCATTCTGTTAATTAAATAAATTAAACATCTAATTATGCACCCCTCCCCCCCATTGCTATGTGTTGCTAAATCCTGTATTTTACCTGGTCACAGTATTAACTAAATGTATTGCTGACTGGAGTTAAAATACATGGTATCAACTTTCACTATGTTTCTTCTAGTTTGTTTAAAAGAAATGCTTTTTTTTTTATAACACCTTCCTTACTCTGCTCATCATTAAACAAGCCTGTAAAGCTATAGAATGTAATTCATATATCCCTTTGCTCAATTCGTGATACTTACCACATCCCCAGGTAATCCAGGAAGGCCTCGCTCCCCCTGTGACACAGTTCACACAACAAAGTTGAAAACCCCGTCATTAGAATAAAGAAACATTTAAGGTCCCTCAGGCAATATGTTAATGATACAGCAAGGACCATAATTTATAAGATGACGCGTGTTTAAGCGTGTACTTATTGAAGGCTCCATGGAAAGTGAAACTTGTGGGTAAAGTACCATGGCAATTCTGTGTGTATATGAGCATATCCTTTGCATGAGCATGGGTGTGGTATAAGTATGCGTGCATGACTGGAGGAATAATCAAAGTCAGTAATTACAGACAGACAAATGAACTCTGCATTTTTATTTTCTCAGACAAATGAGTGGGCTGACTTTGATGGTGCACAGAGGAATGTCTGGAGAGCACAGAGGGATCTGATGATACCTCTTTAGAATGATTTATATCAGCAAAGCTTAATAACTTTATGCTTAAGGCTATGTCCTCTTTCAATCAAGTGAGCAGAGTGTTTTGTATACATATACACTTACATACCTTGTTTCCTTTAACTCCGCTGGGCCCGGGCACACCAGCCAGTCCTCTCAAACCCTAATCCATTTTAAACAAGAGCATCATTAATATAAAGGCAACTGGCTGTTATTGTCGGATGTGTGTAAATGCAGCAGCTAAACAGAGAAACACAACTCACGTTTTTCCCAGGAAAGCCAGGTTTTCCTGGTAATCCATCCACACCTGCCAGACCCTACCATGGACACAAGTGGAGGAGAAAACATGACTGAAGACAATAGATAAGGTGCCATCCAAACGTAGCACAGACTCCTGAAAATGTTTCTCCTTGGTCAGGATTCAATATACTCTCGGCTCTATGGCTCCTCACTGCTTGCAAACAAACATGCTTGATGTTCACCATATTGATTAAGCATGTCATCATGCTAACATTTGCAAACTTGTACAATGCTGAGAATGGCAACAGTTTTGCAGGGATTGGATGCTGGATGAAAAATCAGGCCATTACAATTCAGCATTTGGGGACCATGCATATAAGCACCAAATTCCATGCCAATCCATCCAGCTGAGATGTTTCAGTCTGGAAGTGGTGGACCGGCCAACCAACATTGTCATCTCTATAGCTGTTGGCTTGCTAGTGAAAAAAGTGGACAGTGCTGCATAACCCTAAGCACATCTACTATTTTTCCTTTAGCAAACATTACCCTGACTTGAACCCCAGGTGCCTCCTCTTAAACACCCAGGTTATTCACTTCATCACTTTACACACTGAGGCAGATACTTTTACAGTTTTTACCTGCAGGAAATTACTTACTGACTGGCTGACAGACAGCTCAAACCATGTTTGAATGAAGCTATAGTCTGCCATATGGAGAAGTAATCACAGCACTGATTCTGTGTTGACTGCTGTCTACAGTGGTTTAAAATTCAAGATGATATCCCATCATGACTCTTAAATTGTAATATCTCCCTTTAGTAATCCCTTAACCTGTTACCTGTTATCACAATACAAAAAACAATTAACCTTAAGTAAGAAGCCATTGATAAGTCAGATAACATTTCACTGATTTATTAACAGTGTGCATACTAAAATCACTTGGATGGGAATAGAAAGAAAGTTTAAGCAGCTTAAAGGAAACTTCAGACATCAGTAAAGCTCTGTGAGGCCTGAATGAGGTGCATTGTAGCCGTACGCCCCCACAGAGTCCGACAGGAAGTGTGGAGAGTGAATCAAGGAAGCCACATCTGTTTTTACAATTACGCCCCTCACTTCTCAGGTCCTCTGAGGAGAATGCTCTCTCTCTCTCCCTCTCTCTCTCTCTCTCTCTCTCTCTCTTTCTCAGAAATTAACCCCGTCATTAAGATTAGCAGTACAAGTTCAGCTCTCCTGTTCAAACCCCAAGACACTGAGGGAAAACATGATGGAGAAGTAGCTAAGTAACGCTCTTGTCCCTGAGCGAACACTATTTTGGTTGTCCTTAAAAAGGACCACAAACTCCTACTGTATGTGTTGGGGTGAAGGTCGTCATAGGAAGTAACCAAGTAAAAATATGTTGTGTGAATATGATCAAAAATACCTTATTTGGTTTTGATATCAAGGAACTGTTACAATGTTACTTACCGCGGAGCCTGGAGTTCCCTTTTCACCTTGTATGCCTG